AACTTTTCTATATGGCTTCTATATATTGCAAAGCAGAAAAAATGGCCGTACCCCGGTGAAGGGTACTGTAACTTCCCCCTGCATTGCCCTGTTCATGCTCCACATTGCCATGTGCACGTTCTGGGGCTTGGAGCAAGCTGCTCCAGTGGAAGGTGTCCCTGCCTGTGGCAGGGGGTTGGGACTGGATGAGCTTTAATGTCCCTCCCAACCGAAACCAGTGATTCTGAGAGACTGGGATTGCTGGCAAAATCCCCACTGCTGGCTCCTACAGAGGTGCCTGAATGCACCAGAACTGTGGAATGCATTTAAGGGTTAGGGAAAAAATTGAATATGTTATGGAACAGGCTACGTGTTGTAACATGCTTTACAGTGAGCACAGTGATGCTCACACTGCTGTGAGCCATGACATACCTTGGGGTTTTCTTTGAAAGCTCGGTAACAATTACTTATTTTTCCCATCACTTTTTTTTCCTGTTGATGAAAACTGGTGGTGTTTGTAGGGTATATATAGAATTGTATCAGCTGGGTTGGAAAAGACCTTTTCATCATCAAGTCCAACACTTAACCCCAGCACTGCCAAGGCCACCACTGAACCATGTCACTGTGGGCCTCATCTACATGGTGTGTGAACACTTTCAGGGGCAGTGACTCCACCACTGCCTTGGCCAGCCTCTTCCAATGCCTGGTAGGAGGGTTTGTGATCCATCAGCCCTCCAGAGGTACAACAGCCACTACCCACTGTATTTATGAGCTTTGAAGGAGAATACAAAGGAGGGGAAAAAAAGCAATAATCCTGGTGTGATTTATGCCTGTGTAAAATTGGAAAGGGGAAAGAGCAGGGCAAAGACCATGAAGAATAAAAAGAGGGTGGATGTGAGCACTGCACATCCTTTTGGAAGTGGGTGCTTTGTTCTGCTGTAGTCCAGACACCCATTAATCTCCAACCTGGTGAAGCAAGGTGTGCCTTGAAGCAAAATGCTGCTTAATAGGAGATTGCTTCCACATAAGTAATATTGAGGCTGGCAGGCCAGAGCCACGTCATGCTTCTGGAGACCTCAGCTCCCAGCTGAACAAATCCATGGGCAAATGAAGAAATGATGGCAAGGTGAATAATGGTTTTCATAGTGTAGCTACAGCAACCCTGCTCTAACAGTCATTCCACATGGGACCAGAACTGAAACTGGACTGAATGCAGACTAAAACCCTTTATTCTTCATTTGTGTCACCTTGGTCACTGCTTGGGCTATCTCAGTTTTATTTAGCACAGTATAAAGACCTTTCTAAAGAAACTCTGGTGCACAGATCTCCCCTATTCCCTCCTTTCCTGCCCAGTTTGAGCGCTTTGCTTTGACACCAGTTACATACGCAAGTTTAGCTAAACCTCAGGGTGTAACCTTGAGCATAAGCTCCCCTGGCAGCACTCAGCACTGCAGCTTTCCCTTTCCATCCACCCCGCTGGGGTCTGTCTGGGGTCACCACCTCCTTGGGCATCCCCCTTTGAAGATGCTGAGCCCTCAAAAAGCCTCATCACTTCCAAGTTCTGTTTTCCTAACTCGTAGCCTCTCATCTGAAGTGTGTGCACGGCGGAAATGAAAGAAGAAGAAAAGCCTGATTCAGGTTTTGGCAGCTCTCCTCTTGCAGAACATTCCACACTTGCACATGAAAGGGGTTTTTTTAGCAAACCAGAGCAAAGAGTCCAAATCACAAACACAAACAATTACCAAGAAATCACCACGCTCAGTAGTTTTGCTGCTGCAAGTGGCTTAGGGAGAGGCTGGTCCATTGCCTAATCTTGAGCTCAGCAAAAGACAGTTCATCTTTAAGTTTACAGTGTTTTTGGCCCAACTACAGAGGATAAGATTTCCCTTCAGCCTTTGCCCAAGGCCTAACGATGACTCCAAAAATAACAAGCTGCCTTGAGGTTGGAAATTTGGGTTCAGGGAGATTTTGTTCATGTTCCGTAACTGATACACAAATATTCATCCGAGTGGATGGAAAATGCTTTAAAGCTACAGAGTGCAGTGAATGAGATCAATCCTGAGATGGGAATAATTTACTTACTTAATACTTTGCAGCACTGCTGTCGCTTCCAGCCATCTGTTAGCCGGGACACTGCTGGTAATCTATTGAGCAGCCTGGGAGATGAAACCTTCCGAAAGATCACAAAGAGTTCACTTATTCCTCTGCAGTAGCAAAGGAAGTGGGTGGGGAGAAGGGATAAAAGGATGAGAGATGCAGCTCGTCCTCCTCTGGCTTCAGGATGAAAGCTTTGCTCTAATAAGATGGTAATTTCATACCTCCTTAACAAGAAATAATGTTAAAGATGTGGAGTGAGCAGCGGTTGGAGGTGTTCCCTGAGCCCAATTGTCTTCGTTACATGGTAGATTGTAGTTATAATCCAAGAGGTCTTCTCTGTGGATTTCCCAAGTATCCTGGCCAGGATGTTGAGAATCCTGGGTTTTAATAGTAGCCGACAGAACAGTGCATGAATGGGTCTCCCTTTCACTGAGAGAGGGATTTGCTGCCCCTGTGATTTGGTCAGATACTGAGGCACTCAGTCTCAAGCAATGCCCATAGCAGTGTTGCCTTTTGTCCTTCCATTTTGGGGGTTTCATATCATTCCTTGCCTCTTTGCAGGCTAAAAGAGGGGCATCAAGCTTGTCCTCCACCCTCTTTGCTGTCAGGTCCATCTCTGCATCCATCTCCGCAAAATGGACATTTTTATGTTGTGTGTCCTGTGGAAGTGAAAGAATGTCTAAACCTAGTATTCAAAGTGGAAAAATGGTCAAAGCAGTACATAGGAACAGAACAGGAACTGAGAACAATTTGTGTCAGGCTGTTCCTCTTGAAAAAGAGCGCAAGGTTTTAACTTACCTCCATGTTAATATATTTCTTGTAGCACTGGGAGACCTTTAGTGCTGCAATTGTTAGTGTAACTTGTTCAAATATTTCAAGTTCCCACCTCTTCTCATTGTTGACATGGAAAAACACTTCAAACTTATCTAATCAAAGGCTCATGAGCCGTCATGTCCCGGAGGCAGCAGAGACAGGCCTGATAAACACAGAAACCACATTTGTTAGCGCTGATACAGCTCCTGCTCTGCTCCTGCCTGCTGAACCACCCACTGGCACCTCGATCCGCTGGAGCCATGCTGACCACTATGATTCCCCCTGGGTCTGTCCAGGCAGAACAGCTCACAGACAAGCCAGGATTCCTTTGGGAAAGCACACCCTGAGGGGCTGCTGCAACCAGGCTCCAGTGAGGAAGCAAAACTGCCAGACTCTGCTTGAAATGCATACGGCAAAGAGAATGCACTTCAGGACATGCCACTGATGGCAGCTTCAGTGTTTGCCCTGCACATGAGCAGTGGGTGACACTGATTTACATGTGTATGTGAAGCGAAACAAGCTTTATAAGGCCAAAGAGTAACATGGGAATGCAGACAGGCAACGCTTTTGGCTTTCAGGCATGTCACTTCCTGACAACTAAAGCAATAGGACACTGTGGTAGAAACACAGTGTAACAGCATCGGTTGCTGGAGCCTGGGTTACGATGCTCAGCTTCGTCACTGCTTCCTTTAGGAAATGTCCTGTCTCTGAGCGATTCAGAGCCCAAGGCAGGAGCAGTAGAGGGGGAAGGGATAACTGCTGGCCCTGCTCTGGTGTTTCGCAGCATGAAGAATGTTCAGGAAGTTGAGAGCATCATCTGCTCTATGCTGCAAGCTTTCCAAGCAACTTTGATCAGTTTTCTATGCACAGTGGTCCCCTCGAGTTTTGATTAAAGCAACACCTGCCTCAATGAAAAGCAGAGCCCTTTTAGCATTTTAGCATAGTATTTTATCTTAGCTGCCTTTATTGCTCACAGAAACTTCACCAAGTCCATTGCATTTGAGGAAACAAGCAGTTGTGCGTGACCTCTCCATACTTGCAGCCTTACTCCAAGATCCACATCCCTGTTGTTCTGCCAAGAACCAGGAGAGGGTGCTATTAAATTTGGCAATCACTTGGCTTCTCCGGAGAGAACCACATCCTGCAAAATGTCTTTCCCAGTTTCTCCCCGCTCCCCCATCCCAAACCCCTTCCCACCGGCTGCTTCTAACCCGACTGAAATAGATCTGTCACACCGATTCAGCGCTGACGAAAAGCATCTTTCACCTCATTACAGCCCAGCTCCTCAACTGGAGCCATAAGAAGTTGCTCGCATGGCACGATTGCACGGTCACACAGAGCCTTTGATAAAGGGTGGCCCACAGCTTGGTTTTAGCTGTGCCTCTGCCAAAAGAGCCCTCGGACATAAGCTGTGTCAGACTTACAAGAGGGACTGCCTCTGGGATGGGGAAATGAACACAGTCACATAAACAATCGTTCTGGTGGGTCAGGGACAGACGTTTGGCAAAATGAGGTGACTCTCATTCTTGCTGTGCTGGTTTAGGATGAAAAAAGTTATAAACAATTTATAAAAGGGGGAATATATCCATGGTCAGCTTTGAACCACAGCCATAGCATCACAGAATGATCTGGGACCTTTCTCTGCATCAGTGACCTAATTAGTTTTTTAGCTCAGATGCCAACACTGCCCACTTGAAACCAATCTGAATCTTCAGTAAGAATATAAGCACATCCTGAACTGTTATCCAAACATGAATATTCAAACCATTTTCTTTCTCCCTCACTATAGTTTTTCAAACCCTCCTTCTCTGTATCAACTTGAAGCAGGCACGGTGGAAGAAATGCACAGGAAAAAAGAAATGGGAGGAGATGAAGAAGGTACGAGGAAGCATCTTCTGTTGTTCAAGTGACTTTCTGCAATTTGTTCTGACAACAGCTCGCTCAGAAGTGAAACCGACTGTGTGTCATCCCATCTTCCAACAGAAAAACACTATGACAGAATATGAGCAACTGTGTTAACAGGGACTGAAAGCGGAAAATGGGATAACTGGGATATGAAGCAATCTTGTCCCAAACTGTGTTCAAACATAAAACAACTGCCAGTGCACAGATTTGGTGTATTTGTAGGATAGTTTAATTTTTAGCTGAGAAACACACAACAGAGTAGAGTTTAAGGCATGCAATCAGGCACAAAATTTCTCTTGCTTGCTTTCTGTGCTCAGACCTTCAGTGTAAGTTCTACGAACAGGAGTAGATACTACCTTTAATCTCTACGTCAAGCAACTCTGAGTACACACTCACAGTCTGAGGTTCAATGCAATGTTCGCGGTCGTTCCTGGAATGCATGAGTTACCTATTGGAAACTCAGTTCTTTCCTTGCGTGATTTTTTTCTATGCCATGTACAGAAAAAGTCATTTCATAAGGTAAATTCGATCAGTGAGAATATCAACAGAAGCAAAATAACCTTCTCCACGTATATACATGCTGCAACTACAGACATCTTGCATGGCTTTACTTTGATTGCTCTTTCACTGGATAATACAGGTAATAGGAAAAACCCTTTGATTCCTGCACCTCACAAGTTTTCTTCTAAAAACCAAACCAAAACCAGACACTACAAAGACACATCAATGGGGTAGTGAACTTTGCAAAAGAGCAATTCAAAGATTAGAATTGTGTGGATTTAGGTATATTGAATTAGAAACATCGAGGTATTGAAATAAACACCACAAGCACTGAGATGCTGCAAAAAATACATTTCCATTTGAGTAACTTTTGGTTAGTAGTAGTAGTGTAAAGCACCTTTGTGTCTACTATGGGGCAGTTGCTCTTAACAAGCAAATAAGGCAGTACCTGACAGGGAGCATGTTGCCAAGGAAAATGGTGTTCATAAGCAGTTACAAATGAGTATTTTCTCCCTTTAATGCCCCACCATTGTTCCTACAGCTTCTGGGTTTAGTTTTTATTATTATTATTATTATTTTAAAACATGATAGTCAAAGACTCTTCTCCCTTACTCGTGCATTTCTAAAATCAATATGATTAAAAATTAATCTACTGTGCATCCATGTGATGAATGTGGTAAGAGCTCATTCTGTGGTTTTCCCCATGAAGGTCCCCGTCCTGCATTTTTCAGTATTACTAAGACTTTTGCTGCAATTACTGGGAAGAGACAAATCCCAACTCCTAAATGTCTTTAAGCTGCCCACTCCCAAGGACTCAGTGGTATCAGAAGTTCCATCCTCTGCTGTGGCAGGCATTAAGAGTTTGTTATTACAGTGAATTTTCAAAAGAGGTAATCCTGAGATTACAAATAGTTGGCAAGTCCAGAACTGGATGGTCCCATTTCCTAAGCCCCATCCCAACAAAAAGATTCATGCATGGGTTTACCTCATTCCTATAGAGCAAAGCATTAAAATACAACTTAAGCACGAGATCAACTACTACTGAAAGTGCCTGAAGGAAGATTAGGACTTCATCATTAAGTCCTTTGAGAGCACAAAGGGAAAATTAAGTGCATAAGGATTATACCTTAAAACATGCATATGGAGGCACTGACCTCTTCTTTGATCTTCTAAACCACACAGGCCATTTAGCTCTGAGGGAAGAATCAGAACGCCTGATCCCACTCTTAACATCTAGCTAAGAAAGAGCCCATGGAAACAAGTTGCTTTACACGTTACTTGCAAGAGTGACTCAGAGTTAAAAGAAATAATCAAGTCTGCCAAGTGAGTTTGCAGCCTCAAAAATTACAATCTAGACTTAAATTTTAAAACCTTGATAGCAACCGTAGCGTACAAAACATATAGAATCATAGAAGAGTTAGGGTTGGAAAGGACCTTAAGATCATTCAGTTCCAACCCCCAACCTGGCCTTTCTGACAAAAAAGAGAACTATAAAATGATCAAAGGCTAACTGGGCATTTAGATTAGCTGGCACATCAACTAACATTCAAGGAAAGCAGTGCAAAAGTAACTGAGTAAATAATGAGAGAATGTGAAACAGCTACACTACACACTGCGAAGCTTGCAAATAGAGCACATAGCTAATGGGCTTTCCCAACTTCAACTGCAATCTTGCAACACTGCAGTGAATTAACTCAAAACTATATGAACACATAAAAAATTGTATGCCTAAATGTGCTTTGCAGCTCTGACACAGTCCCAGGACAACATGGAAGGCTCATTGGGAGCGTCTTCCTTTACCACCATTTCACCTTGGATTGCTTTGAGCAGAAATAAATTCCCACTCCTCTCAAACTTGGTGTAAAGGGCTAAACCACAACGTCAAGCTCCTGTTCCATTGCAGCTCTCAAAAGTTACATTAGGAAACCCTGAAATAATTCTCTGGGGCAAACAAAATCAGGCAAGGTGATTTTAGTAGATTTTAGTAAAACAAAGCCAGACTTTGTTGGTTGGTCCTTTGCCAAAGTATTCTTGCTGCACAGAGCAAGACTGTTCAGGAGACATAGGAGGGACCAGATGCTTCCCCATACAGGCATCTGACACTGATGTTATGCTGACATGCAGGATGTGCCCTGGTCAAGCTTTGCTGAAATCAGTGCTTTTGTTCCTAAGGGAATACAGGTTATCCCATCCTCTGAAGAAGGTGATTGTCTACTGCACAAATACTGAGGAAATCATTACTAGAGAAGTGTTTGATTCAACAATAAGGGCAAAGCAAAACAGGTCACCTTGAAAAAACAAAGTTACATAGGAAGGGATTGGATTCTACTGAGCTTAACCCTGAAAGATGCTGTCCCTTCATAATTAAGTTTGCTACGAATGACTCATCCACAAAGTAACGTGCAATTTACTCCTCAGCAGCTTCTCCCAGCAATTCAGGATGTAAAACCCAGTCACAAATAAAAATTACAAGGCAAAAATAGAAATCCAGGCACCCTATTTCCCATTTCTCATAATTATGAAGCCTCACAAAAGAAAATACAAAAACTGAAAGCATTTTAGCTTGTGAAATATGAAAGGCAATTCATGCTATGGAGGAATACCTCAGCCTTTTATGTAGGAAACAGTCCTTCCATGAGCACTTTGTTACTAGCTATCATGCAAAAACAATTAGTCGTTCAAGCAATTAAGAAGGTAAGTATCTCCTAAGAAGGTTTTGAGCTTTTCAAGCCCTAAATGCAACTGCTATAAACCTAGACTGTTCCTGAGTGTAATTTAGTCATTGTATTGCTCCTCCTGAAGGGATTCATCGTATCATGTGTTGTAAATTCTTGACGCTCTTTTAGCTGCGGTCTGAGCCTCTGGTGAATTCTCCTCTTGCTCCTCACACTTCTTATGGTTTAGGAATATGTCTGACTTCAAGAAGCGGCTGTAGCTGTCGTATTTCATGAGATTGAATATCTGGTAAGAGGGGGGAAAAACACAAAAACAATGGCCTAAGTAAAACTAGATTTTAAATGAGGACAACATATGAATTCTAATGTATTTTGGTTGTGTTAGTACTAAAGCACCACTCCAAAGCATGACATTAAAACACATTTCAATCACTCAGAAGGGGCTGCATGTAGCAAACCATACTGTAGATTCTACAGTCACTCTTTTCTATAGCATCCATATTAATTTAGGAACCAGATTATGATTTTCACAATAGCCACCTTTGAAAACCTTATAGTGAAGGTGGAAGGCCACGTGCCAAGGTCACTAGGTAGGATTTTACAGCTGATGATAAGATAACTGCACAAGTGGACAAGTCAGGACATTACCTGGTCCCCTTCCACTGCAGCTTTAAGGCTGCAGAGCCACCAGGAGCAAAACCCAGTGAGGGTCTCCTTCTGGAAGGGCAGTTGGAAGATATTCAGAGGGATGAAGAACAAAAGGTACCTTTTAGGCACCCTTCTGACTGCAGTTACTCTTGAGCATTACAGAATAGCTCATTATACATGCACAGCACTGGATAATTAAGAAAAGCCTCTAAATAATTTACACAAATACTGAAGCTGCAAACTGAATCTAGGACTGAAACAACTGGTTTAATCCATGTTCTTAAGCTTATGCTGATCTTCCCATCTCTTTTAGGCTACTACCCAACCAAATGCCAGGAATGGTCTCAGGCCAGACCAGAAATGCTGCAGGTACCTGCCACAAAGAGCTGATCTGGTACAGATGGAATTTGTCAGATAAAATGTGGCTTAAAGCTAGTGAGGGATTAAATTTATGCCAAGACCTGCCCTTCCTCTCATAGCCAGTGCACAGCCAGCATGGAAGCATGAAGTCAGTGCTGAGTATAGCTTTTCTCTCCTGGGCTTGAGTTTAAGCCCATCCCTCAATATAACTGTTTTCTATCCTATTTATAACCATTTCAGACAAAAAAAGACCAAAAACCTAGAACTCATTTGGAGTTCTCTGAAAACAAAAGGGCTTGGGAGAGGAGCTGAGAATCTGTTCAGGTGTCAAGGTCAGGACTATATTCTGCTTGGTCTTGAAACGGAGGGGAAGGAAAAAGTAAACCTCAAAACTATAATTGGGGAAAACCAAAGCCTACATCATCCTCTGCCTATTATTTCAGTGGCAGGGCCTCTCTGAGTCATGCTTCGTGACTGATTACATTTTATGGCACTCAGAGTAACTAAATTTCCAAGACTTGTTTCTGAATTGTGACCTGCATGAGTGGATAATCCACGTGTGGATAACTGGAGCTTTACCTTTACAGGCCTCATTTCTAACTGAAAGTACAACTGGGTAAAACAACTGTAAGGAGGAAAAGAAGTGATAATCATAGAATCCTAGAATGGTTTGGGTTGGAAGGGACCTTCAAGCTCATCCAGTTCCATCCCCTCCATGGGCTGGGACACCTTCCACTAGAGCAGGGTGCTCCAAGCCCTGTCCAACCTGGCCTTGAACACTGCCAGGATAACATAATCTGCAACTGCTTTATCATTTCATGTCCTCAAGGAACCTGGACAGGTAAAGGCTGACACATAAAACTTGACTGTTCTTATCTGTGCATTTGCTGAAATAACCTCCTGAAAAATAAATTACATGAAGCATTTTACTAACCACTGTTTGTTCACATATTCTAATAGTTACATTCATGTTTAAAACAGTGGAAATCTAGCTTTATAAGCTATATATTGGAAGACTACAAATCCCCAAACACCCTCTTGATGTAGACACAAATCAATGCAGTTAAGTCAAGTTACACCTCTTGCCATTGGCTAACTACAACTTAATTTTAGACCTCTCTTTTTCCTAGTGTCATTTATAGCATCTCCTACAGAGAAAGAGCACTAAGGTCAAATCTGCAGGAGTCTGGTCAACCAAATGCACAGAACAGAAAGATTTCTTAATCACATGCAAAGGCAGAATTCTCTTTTTCCCTCCTCTCCTCTCATCACCTCTGTGGATCAGGAACATTTAAACTCAAAAATATTTTGAAATCTACAGATTTCTATGAATCATTCTAACACCATTCAGGATGAACAACTGCCTGCAAGCTGCTTGTTTAAGGCCATCCCACCAGCACATCCCACAAACACACCCAACAAGTAGACCCATTTTAATCAGCAGGTCTCTGGACCTGCTTTATACTTCAGACACACAGTGCCAGCAGCAGTTAACACTGTTCTTTAGAGAACAAATTATACCATTCTCCATACCTTTATAAGGATTGAAAACCAGGGAAGATTATAACTCTTTCAGAACTATTATTACCTACCAGCAATAAACAGAAGCTTCAAGCAGTGGAAACCTGCAACAACACATAGATGCTTTGCATTTGGTTTTAGAAGTTCACAGACTTCCTTCCTACACTAGTGGGATTCCTCTACCACTGGTCTAGCATGTTTCCAGTTCAGGTATTACTGATCTCTGGCTGTTCATGTGCATGCTCATTTATTTGAACTCCAGTGGTCTTCTTCAACTTCACTTTCATAATCACTCATGCTGAAGGGCAGTGCTTAGATGTACCAGCACTTTCTTTTTCCCTTCCCCCAAATCAGAAGTTCATCCATGAAAAACTTTGCTTCTTCACATTGAAATTGAGTTTCAGACATTTCCACTGCTAATGACTTGGAACCTGCTTGAAAGACAGCAGAGTCTTTGCTCCTCAGACCAATTCCACTGACCGAGCCAGTGACCAGCTAACATACACAATACCTGATGTGAAATGGGTTGAACACACTATTTAAATCAGAGTGCTGCTTCTCTACAAAAGAGCCAAATGGAAAATACAGGTAGTCCTGAGGATGGTACAGAAATTAAAAGCAGTACAGACTGCAAGTGCTGGAAAGCTGCAGATAAGAGTGACTCACTTCCTAACTTAGGCATTAAAATAAGCTAAATAACAAGAAAATTTACCACCAAAAGACACGCCTGCAAAATGCCACTTAATTTGTACCAGACCTCCCAAGCTCTTTAGGAAAAAGCAAAGCAGATACCAACAACTCTTTTAAGTTCTGTATGTTACAGAAGAGGCTTTTTAGGAAATTGCATTATATTCATATCAATATAAATACCAAAACAAAGTGAAGAATCTCGAGCTCTCAAGGAAACCAGGGGCAACTATGGAAACAAACATCAGCAATGACTCAGCACAAGTGAATACACAGGAAAACGTAGGCACAAAGATAGTCAGCTGGGTGATTCTCAAGCTACTGGCACAGGAATCTGGGAGAAAACTTCATCCCATTTTCCAGGAAAGTCCTGAACTGCCTTAGAATGGTTGTGCCAAGACTCTTAACTAATCGGTCAGAGTTATACGGAGCCAAAAACCTTGGGTATGGTGTATCCATCCTTGGAGCAGCTGCACTAATATCCCCAGTATGAAACAACCCAGCTCCATGTGTGCTTATTCATTCCATGCCACAGGCAGCAGTAGGCAGATTCCCAACTTTCCAACACTAGCTTACGGTTAAAAAGCAGAGTCCATTAAAAGCAGACAAAACCCAAAAGAAACTGAAGAAAATAACTTTACCTGGTCCTGGAGCTTCTGAAACATGAGAGGATGAGGTGTCTCCAAAATGGTCTCGCTCAGACGGGACTGCCCTTCAACATTGACCTGGGAAGAAGCTTTACTGGACAGGAAAGTCATGTAAATTTCTTTAGCCTTTTCCTGCATCTGCAAAAGGACATATTTATTTAAAGAATTATTTGCTGGGGGAATATGCTCATACAAATATTGTTAATGTTTTGTTGAAGGCTGCTCCAAGTCACTTCTTGAGGTTCAGATCCTAAAATCAAAACACAGTCTGAATTACAAGAGAGAGCAAGTAACAAAACAAAACGACATAGATTAGCTTATTTGTGTCTATTCATTTGTACTGAAGGGAAAACATCTCTCAGGCCAAAATCCTGCACTGCCATGAGTGGAAGCAATCAGCGTTCAACACTTTGGTGAAAGAGCTGGCCTTGTCTTCAGTATTTAGAAGACTATTTTTACTAACAGATAATCAGCATGCTCAAGGAACCCAGAAGAAAACAATGTGGAAACTTACTGCAAGGCAAAACTAAACAAAGTTAGTGTATAATCCATGCTACTGCTAGATAACTGCCATACTACATGCTCTTTCGTAACTACATTTTTACTTCAGGGTAGCTCACATGCAACAGCGACTACATGATTAAAGAAACCCAACAGCTTGGTTAACGGTAAAGATAAGACTCTCAAGAGCCTCTGAAAACTGATAAATAAGGGTAGGTGTGACTTGCACAAAGCTGTTTGTGTTTGCCTTTATTTCAGCATTCTCTTCATAAATCAGTAATAGTGATAATACTTTGACCCAACCTAGCATCTTTAAGCTTCAAAGCAGTAAATGAGTGCTCACAATCCTCTGCAATTCAGTGCAAGCTCACTCTTGACCAGCAGGTTGGATAAGAAAGCCAGTGTGGGAGAAGAAAGCCAAGCCTCCCTGCTGCAATCTGTATTCTGCACACTGAAAACCAGCCCCATGCAGCAGTAGGCACTGTACAATCCTGAGCCATGGGTACTCATCGTCATTCCCCATGGCACATCTAATGAGCAGCTACATCATCACACCAGCATCAGCTAAAGGGCTGTGTTTTTGATGGGAAGTGGGCTTGAAGAAGGAAGCATTTAAGCCCTTGCCCATGAAGGAGTCAGAATGTCTTTCATGTTTTACAGCTGAGAATCAACATTTGGGGACAATTAGAAGAAAAGCTACAAGTGTTTGACAATTCCCAAGGCCTAAAGAGTTAACTCTCTCACTGCTGAAGGGAACATGTATTTTCCAGTATTCCTTTTCAAAACACATTATCCAGCTGATGGGTAGATCATATGCCAAGTGCACTGGGTCACAATGAAGTGTTTAAGATGATGTTCCAGTGTCACAGAGCAGGAAGGACTGTGTCAGCTGTGTCTGTTCTAAATGGGCAGTTAATCCAATCAATAGGACTGAGTTTAACTGGTAAAGTTAATACCTTGATGCAGACACAGTAAAGGTACCTTTACCTATTATCACAATACTGACTGTCAGCCCTACCTAAATAACTTTTGAACCTGCTGTCCAATTCCAATCGTATCTAAGAAGGGGAGCAAAGGACTGAGAAGTAATTAACCTCCTACTGATTCAATTGAAAAGAGCGGTGAGAGAAAGGAAAGGGAGAAGAAAAGCTGCAGTGCATCTTCAAAAGTTATCTACTCTACCTGAACTGCCAACATATACTTAGCTGCTGCCTAATCCGTGCACACATAGCTCCACATCAGCCACAACACAAAGTGCTGCTTGCCCAAGTAACACAGAAGCAACCTGGGCACTGTACAGGAGTACTGGAAGGCTTGAGGGGAAACATGAAACTAGAAGTACTGTGAGGAAGTTTAAAGAACATGGGGGGAGCAAGAGAATTGTGTGGGAGGTTGGTGAAATGGGGAGGATCTCTGGATTTGGTGGGGAAGAATGATAAAGGAAGTGAAAGGGCTCTGGTAGAGACAGGGGGTTGCTGGAGAGACACAGGGGACCTGACCTTACAGTAATGGGGAAATACGGAAATGCACAACTAAACATTACAGGTTCTGCTGTCCATGGAACAACTGCTATGTCTATGCTTCAGTAGTTTCAGTTTAACTGCAATTATGTTTTTAAATAAAGTTACAGCTATATATGTTATAAACCAGTATGTTTATACATCCCCCAAATGACATTCAGGGAGAGCCAGGTTCAGGCGGAAAAGACAGCAATGGTCCCAGTCAGTGCGTGGCATTCTTTGTTCTGTGTCAGCCTGAAACTAATGCCCCAGCACACAGGACTCTGCTCTGGAATTTAAACAACACTTAAACTGGGATCTTGTTCACAGGTGGTTATTAAAGGATTTCTGGCACTTTTCACTCACATCTGTGTGCTCACCCCAGCATCCGTGCCAAATTCCCATTTGGAGTACAGAGTTCTGTCTACAGAAATCCCCCTCGCTATTTCAAGTGGATACAATCTTCTTTCCCACTTCCTTTCCTAAGGTCACACTCAGCTCTGAAGCATGTGCGCTTCCCAAATGAAGTGAATGGAAGTCCCAGATGCTCATCAGTACAGACTCCAGCAGTTAGCAGCTGTGCAGCATTACCCAGTCTTGCTTAGCCATTGCCACATTCCACATGGGAAATGGCAGAAGAAACTCTTGAATAGGTATAGTTTGTTCTGAAATTGTTCTCTCCAAAGCTTGACATGGGTATTTTGATGGGTTTGAGCAACAGCTGTAAAGATTCCTTGTTGTTTGAAGCATTTATTACAATCTGTAATTTATTTTTAAAGCTCCACTGCTAGAGAAGAAACATTTAAACCTTGGGAAGTAGCACAATGGACATGTTGTTTGTTTCATCAACAGTCACAAACGCAGCAGCGTATGACTAACTCCAATAAAACATTTAAAGCTCAATTTTATTCCCTTAGCCCCACCACTCCCATTTCAATAATTAAATGTGTCCCAAGATGAGGACCATATGGGTGGCAGCAGAGCTCACTGCTACAAGTGGACTTGACCTAATTCCTTCCTCAAGTCTTCACTAAACATTAAAATTTCTATTTTAACTCCAACTTTAAAGGAATATCCTTTCTTTTAAACTACAGAGATGTGTCTCGAGCTGAGGGGAGGAGTTTGTGCTTTCCTGCTGCAAGAAGATAGGCTGAATCCAAAACCTGCCTAGACCAGTGATGTAGTTTGCTTGCTGCCCTGATGCAGATGCTGAAAACCTGCCCTGCTTCCTGAAATGAACATGAGTTTTGCATTAGCTCACCCAAACAGGAAAACAAACACAAACTCATGGAGTAGTCTGGTCTGAACTCCATTTCTGCCTTCTGACTAAGCGTTCTCACCACTAGTCTAGAGCCAACACAACAGTCAAGAGCCTGGCTTCTTCTTGCCAGCACTCCCTTTGGTCCCAAGGTCCAGATGTATAGTGGCACACATTCAAGAGGAAAGGAACAGAGAGATGTATCTGTATCAGATCTGCCTGTGTTGGCTCGATAAAGTCAGCTTCTAGGCAGAGCCTGCGTGACTGTGGTTAGAGTAAGGACTGAACCAAATTTAGTAAATCTTGAGGAGAATCCCAAGATATTTCCTTAGAACAGCACTAACACAATTTGCAACCAACAGAAAGCAGGAGCAGAGAGAGCCTGCATCTACCTGTGAAGACAAGAAAGGACATGAGGGAAGGACAGAACATTTACTGAGCCCACCAACTTAATGATACACCAGTCTACACAAAACCAAACACTGCTGCAGGCTGACACAGAAGGGATGACAGTAACACTAGGCACTATGAACGTAATCCATTGGCCAGGTAGCCACCTTTGTGCAAGTTTAAACCGACCAACAAAACCCCCATACTTGTACTCTCATGTCAAGTACTGAAAAGTTTATTTTATACTTTAAAAATAGAGGGAAAAAATGCCATTCAGTCTGGGTTAAATTGAACTCAGCTTCATCTGACCAAAAGTCTAAGTGTCTATGAGCTAGTTTCTGTGGTAAACCAGCTTTAATGAGAAGCAGGTTATAAAACAAATAAAAAGATGCTTTTAGAATATCTTGCTCACATCAGATAGACACAAACTGATTTCTGCAAGAGACTTTCAGAAGACAAATTCATGCTTCGTGCTATCATAAGCACTGAAAAGATTTCTGGGTTTAGTGCTTTTTCTAGCTTTGTAAAGTATCTAAACAAGGCCATTCATAAGAAGCAGCTATAAAAACCTACTGTAAGTCTGTGCTATTCTAAAGCACATTCATTGTAACCAACTACAATAGCTTTGGCAGTTCTAGGCTCCAGATTGATCACGCTGTGTAATGATGGGTACTGAATAATTGAGCTAAATGGAACCTAGTTAAGTCTCTGTCCATTCATTCAAGAATCACTAGGCCACTATCTCTATATTTCATTTTCCCATTTCCTGTACTTGCATGAGCAATCCTGAAATAGCTAAAAAGATGGAAATTATTCAGCAAGAGAAAATATGACTGTTATACCTTTGCAAATTGGGGAAGCTTAAAGAAGGACTTCCCACTTTCATTTCCATTTTAAAATGCAGTTTGATACCTGTCCAAGGGGTCTCAAGAAAAGGCAAGGACCCTTGTAAAACCTACAAAGCAAAAACAACTGCCCTGTATAATGCAAAGCCTTCTTCCTATCTGCATTTGTAGAGGGAAGGGAAGCAACTAAAAACTCAAATCTGAAGTAGTGCTGAACATTACAAAGAGTACAGTCAATCTGAATATGTTCCTCTTCTTGAAAAAATATTATTTTTGTATTTTTTATGTATTTATCAATACCAAAAAATATTCACAACTGAAACAAGCAAATTGTTGTGAGGGGGATGCTTTTCCAGTGCAACATAGAGAATATTTACAGAAAGTAAAGCCCCCTCTCAAAAATATGTTTTGTTGAAAATCAGGAAAATGCACTGGGAAACAGTTTCAGCTGAAAATATTTGACTGACCTTAAGAGAGGTATGCCTGCACTTTATAACCATAGAATCCCAGATTGGTTTGTGTTGGAAGGGACCTTAAAGCTCATCCAGTTCCAGCCCCCTGCCACAGGCAGGGACACCTTCCACTAGAGCAGCTTGCTCCAAGCCCCTGTGTCCAACCTGGCCTTGAACACTGCCAGGGATGGGGCAGCCACAGCTTCTCTGGGCACCCTGTGCCAGCACCCTCACAGGGAAGAATAATGCCCCCAGGAGCCCACTTCCCGCCCGATTCCTATTCCCTGACAGTTCTGATGGTAGACAAAGTCTGCATGGTCCATTTGAAGCAGGTTTAAGTGGTATCTTCCCAGCCTCACCTCCTCATGGTACTCTACTTATTTTGGCAAGAAGAGCGCAAAAGGGGCTGTACATTTGCACCTGTAGCCTTCTAAAATGTTCCCTTTGGCAACAAGAGCTGCACACATGCGAAAAGCATAAAGGTGGGATTTTAAAAGTAAGAGCTTATGGCATTTAGGAGTCTGACTCTCAAGGGCAGTGATGCTCAGTTGGAGTTTCGAAACTAGTTCATTCCATTCTCACAGAATCCTCATCTCAAAGGTCAAATAAATTTGGAATTTCTCAAAAATAATAAAAATCACAAAAAACTGTTTCAGAAAGAAGCAAACCAAGCACAGTATATTTTAGGATGACTCTGTAGGCTCCAAAGCCTAAATATGAAAGTGGATTCTGTGCTCCTGATGGATCTCAATGTAGACCAAGATCTAAGCAGTGGAAAAAACTTACTAGAGGTGGCTTGTTGAAGAATTTCCAAGAGAATATTTTCTACTACAAAAATACAGCTTTCATGAAAATGAAATGCTCTGCAGACATCAATTGCAGGTATCAATTTGAATACATATTTAAATTGTATTTAATTTCAATACATATTTAAACAAAAAAAGCCTAAATGCGCCCTCAATTTCTTTTGTTTTGTAACTTGATAAAGCAAAACTTTTCCTGTTGGTATTGTAAAACACTTTGCTGATTTTACGTTCCACTAAAGCATTCTACTGGTGTGTATTTTCATGTAGTGGCTGTTATGCTTTAAATAAAGGTCTTGAATGAAACATCTTTATATTTTCAAGCAAGATGATGCAACATCCCTGAATGAAACCTTCGGCTATTCCCAAGCAACAACAGAAAGTTCAGAGTTTTCATAACATGGGAAACATGACAATTCCAGCATTTTGTTTTCATTTTGTTTCCAAACAATCCCACCACTGCGATCTCAGTGCAATTCCTTCAGATCTATTTATTCACACTCACATGAAGCACGTTATGCAACAGAAATGTTACAGCTTCAGCTCTGCTATGGAAGTTGTTGACAAGTACAGCTTACTTAGGAAACATACCTGTTTTTTCCCCTGTGTTTTCTTAAACTCTTCACATGCTAACCAGAACAAAACATTTTCTTCACTAAATTCCTTCTTTAAAAACTCCTAGGGAAGAGAAAAACAAACAAACAAAAGTTAGGATCCAATTTCTCAATTGTTTTTCTCTCTTCCTACTATAGCTATTAAAACTAGACCCCGGGCTTAGCTTTACCAGGGTATGAGTTTCCATAGCATAGTATAACAGAACCACTGCATTAGTGCATCCGCACGCTACCGAGGCACAAATGAACAAACTTATTGAGCACTCTGAAAGTGCATTCCAGGAGAATGAGCAGCTATATTTAACCTCAGAGCACACCAGTAACTAACAAGAAGAGCTTCTTCAGTCTCTGAAATAACGTGAGTGTTTTTACAGTCATTACTCAAAGGGAAATCCAAAAATACATTAATTCATTAGCAGGTGAATATAACGAACTATTTTAATGAGTCACAGATCACTTGAGACTCTCATCTAGTCTCTTTCTGATTTTTAATGAGTAAAATCACTACAAATAGAAGTGTTTCTAATCAACACTGGCAATTCATTTAAGTAAACTAAAGCAGAAGATGTATTTGTGTTCTCTAGACAGTGCTTAAACAAAGCACATTTCTCCAGAAGTGAGGCATGTTTTAAAATGAGGAGAAAAAATTTGTATTAAATCTGTTTATAAAACATGATTGAAATGTTTATAGCTCTGAGATCGTCAGTTTTTTCTTTCAAATGTTAGAAAATAGAGAATAAGTAAAGCCAAGAATTAAATAGTACCAATATTACTTTTTTTCCTAAAGAATTCTAAATCCAAGTGGTTTGTGCATCTATTTTACATCACTTTCCAAACCAGTCTGCCAGTAAAACATTTTATCCCAGTGCATTTTATCAGTTCTTGGTGTGGCAAAACCATACTGAAGTAGGCAGTTCCTATTCTTATAGCTAGTATGGCAAGAAGGCCTTGAAAAACCAACTCACCACCCTCACCCAACTAAGCCTCAAGCCTGTGTTTAGAGCTGCACCAACCCACACTTTGTAGTAAACTTGAAGGAAATTCTCTTCAGTACAGCTGCTGCAACACAGAGTAAGAGCCACACAGTTACCAAGCTCAGGAGCTGTTAGCGATAATTCATTGCTTAAGGACAATGTATGCAACTAAAGAGTGCAGGAACAGCCCTCAGTAATAAATAATGCTTGGCAAAAGGGATCGGTGGCTCAAGGACTGTAGTTTATCCAACAGTTACTTGTTAATCCTTGTAACAGCTGATAGAACCAATTAGAAAGATGCAACCAAAAATCATCCATTGCCTTAGGAGAGCAAGCTGCAGTAGCAGTGGGCAAAAGGCACTACCTTAGGAGCCCCGCGAGTGCCACAGCTCCAACTCTGCCCATCTGCTCAAGCTACTTATCTGGAAGGATGCACACCTATGTGCTTACAGCAGTGGCACCATTTACCCTGAGACTTAATTCAGCTTTAAATCCTAATTTCAGTTTATTTAAATATCCATAGTTAATACAGCCACCCTAAATCGTTTCACTCCTTCTGGATCTTCGAGGAGGCTCTCCAGTGATGTAGCCCATTTTGAGGTTCCTTTCAAGGTTTGGTGGCTGCTGCTTGGGTGCCCCTCGCTGTCATTTATCTCTGGGAAGAAAATGGGGAAAAAAAGCCATTTTAGTTAGAAGTGATGAATGTCACATACATGTCTCCCCCACTGCCCTTTGCATTCCTGGATTACAGCTGCTCTCTTAAAAGAAACACCATAAACCTGAAATTAAACACACACATACTTGAATTCTGCTTTGCTTGTAAGGAGGCAGAAATGCCTTGCAGTGTTATAACTCATGAGCATGTAAGTAGGTGCTGTCACTGGTTTATAGGAGTTCAAGCATTTTTTCTTGCTCGCAGAACACAGTGACCGCAGCCTGCATGGTAAAAGGACCATTTGCTTCTTTTGTCCTGGCACTGTCAATGCCTTTGGCTTCTATAAAGCAAATCCTGGGCAGTCACACACATGAAATGTATTCTGAAGAAAAGGATCATCACTGGAGGTTGGGAAAAGGCAAAGAGAGAAAGAAAAGTAATGCTTTGTTTAGTGGGAAAACAAGTGCAGTATGTTAACCCAGTCTAAAGGGAGGAAAGATGGCAGGAGAGCCTCAGTCCAGCTGAGTTGACCTGTTACTGGGCAAGTAGCATCTGGGTGGGTTTTATGTTTCCTTGTTTTCAAGTCCACTGAAACACTGCTTTTTTAAGGACTATGCCCACACCTTACCTGCCAGCCAGGTTTCTCACACACAGGACAGAAGGGATAAACCTTGAGTTTTTGGTTGAATTATGCTGCATCCAAGGCTGGTGATGCCAAAAAAAAAGGTATGCTGGCTACCCATCACAAAACCTGTTATTTGGGAAAACTCCAGGAATTTTACCTCTTATCTGATAAACCCTAGAACAGACATAAGGTATGCGGCTTCCTTTCCTCTCACTCATGAAATGCTCAGGAAGTGCAGGTCATGGACAGTCAGGCTAAGAGCTCCACATCAGGTCAGGGCACACTGGAAAGGTGCAAAAAGTTCCTTCTGTAATCAACAAAAATTCTATTTATTGTTATAACAAATATAGAACTCTGCTGTTTTTGTGAGACCCTCCCCTGCAGTCCTGCGTCCTCCCAACACAAGAGGGATGTGGAGCTGTTGGAGTGAGTCCAGAGGAGGCCACGGAGATGCTGCGAGGGCTGGAGCAGCTCTGCTCTGGAGCCAGGCTGAGAGAGCTGGGCTGGGGCAGCCTGGAGAAGAGAAGGCTCCTGAAGGGGAGACCTGAGAGCAGCTCCAGTGCCTAAAGGGGCTGCAGGAAACCTGGAGAGGGGCTTTGGACATGGGCCTGTAGGGACAGGCCAAGGGGAATGGCTTTAACCTGGCAGAGGGGAGACTGAGATGAGCTCTTAGGCAGAAGCTCTTCCCTGGGAGGGTGCTGAGGCGCTGGCACAGGGTGCCCAGAGAAGCTGTGGCTGCCCCATCCCTGGCAGTGTTCAAGGCCAGGTTGGACACAGGGGCTTGGAGCAAGCTGCTCTAGTGGAAGGTGTCCCTGCCCGTGGATGAGTTTTAAGGTCCCTTCCAACACAAACCTGCCTGGGATTCTACAATACATTCATTCTTCCCTACCAACTTATTGGGGGATTTTCGTAACTTCTGCTTAAGTTCTGTTAAAAACCCTTCCTCCCTCATGAAACTGAACTTCAGCCAGCAAGTATCTCAAACATTATCTATGCAGACTTATACTATCAGACACCCTTTTCAGCTGGTCACTAGAATGAGAAACGCTAAGGTTAAAGCCCTACAACACACTGGCACGACAGCAAAGCCTGCTGAGTTTTGGTTAGTAGAGACCTGTAGAGTCTATTTGTTTTTCTAACAGTGAGATGGCCACTGTTGGAAATGAATTAACATCTCCTCTTCTCCCTTGAGAGAAGTTAAGGTTTCTATACAGGAGAAATTATAGAGCTGGAAAAGAGGTAAACTTTCTGGAGCTGTGGATTTCATACCCGTTGCCTAATGCTGAGTGATGTACACTGATGCCCTAAGTAAATACAGCTCTATAAGAAAGGACAGCACCTAAAATAATCAAGCAAATGTAGATCCTGTCCCTCCTCTGCCTGCCCTGCTCTCACTATGTAATGCAGATACAGCACTAACCTGAAATTTCTTACACAGTGAATGCATGACCCTGTGCCTGCACAAAACCTCTCAGAATCCAAGATCTTACCCCTTTGGGTAAGGACTGTGACAGACTGGCCTCCAAAGCAGCACGTATAAGCTCTGTATATGTACATATATATAATCTCTGTATAAGCAAGTATAAGATCTGTATAAGAAACACAGTCTGGTAAAGGCCAAGAGTCGGAACCTGAGGACTGTCTGAGCCCACTACTGCATACTTCATACATTAACACAAGAGCACAGCGAGTTAACTGTGCCTCAGTTTTCCTCTCCCTCATGCAACAGGATGTGGTTCTTGATTATCACTTGCAAATTTATTTTAGGAACCTGAGCCTGGGCATCTAATCTCCATAAAACCTGTGAGATTTCAGTGGGAATAGCCAAGTACACTGGAACAGAACACAGTTACCTCTGAGGAGCTTCAATCTCTTGTTATGATCATTCACCTGCAAGCAGAATGGCAGCTCTGTATGTAGAGCTGCTCATGGCCTGAAGAACCAGGCCATTCCCCTATTTAATACAGGATTTAGATACGATATGGGAGATTTTGTTTCTAGTGTTTCTTTTCCAGCCAAACTTGAAGTGGACATTAATGATTACTCTGAAAAAGCATGTGTTTCAATGAGCCAATGCAATACAGGGCAGACCCAGAGCTAGTGCAGCACAGCTCTTGTCCTGAGCAGTCCCCAAAGAGCCTGCTGGGAACATCACCTGGCTGGTACCACCATGGACCAGAGCTACGCAGGCTCCCTCCTGCCAGGCCAAGTACCGTTAATCCCCATGCTCATTGTTCCTTTGCAACCTCCATAAAACTTCAGCACACATGTAAATAAGCTGCACATGACACATGACAGTAGGAAACACCCTGAAACTTTATGAGGATATTAAAACTGCTGCATATTTTTATTACAACCCATTAAATATGCCATCAGAGAAAAATATTCTGATACAAAAGTGGCCCCCAATTAGGAGCATAACTTCCCACTCCACATGCTGGAATCATTTAGCAGATCTGGTGTGATTTCTATTTTAAGAGCTCAGAAGATAGGGAGGAGGTTTTCCCCACACATGATTCCAGAACCAACTCCCAGTCGCAGATCCTATAACACGGTACTAAATTACCTTAAAAATGATACTTCCACTGAGGCAGAATTTAATGAAAGTCTGAAACAATTTATTTTCAAAGGCAATGCTGCAGTAAATGTAATTACATGAACGACCCTCCTGAAAGCTATTTATCTCTGTGTGCTATTTATAAAGATAACTTCCTCCTGTTAAAATCACCTAGTGACAGTTACTTAATACACGCAATACTGATGTTTAATAACCCAAATGTGCACATTAGTATGATTATTTAAATGAGGAAGGCAGCATGTGCTGATATGGAAAAATGAGAGATCATTTTGAGCATCAAAAAAGGGAATTATAAAATGGCAGATCTTCCACCAATATTTCTGTAAGAGTAACACATAGACTGTAGAACAGATGATGAATATGGTAACTACACTTCCTGCTGTCTTTTATACAGGTTAGAAACCAAGGGGCAGGGAAAGACAACAAAGCAAGCACCATGCAGCACGAGAGCGCGGCTGCAGAGCCTCTGCTTGAAGCAAACTTCACACTGAGTGTACGAGTGCAACGCAGCTCTTACATGATGTGTGGTGGCCAGATGCTTCTACATGCACAGTAAATGATTAAGTCCTTACATTAGCAGCACTATTACTTTAGAGGAGAAGCCTACATTAAGACAACAAGTAGGTAGTTGCATTAGCTGGAGCATAGAGAAGAATCATATAGAAGCTGCCTTCTCCCATCACACAACAGTTCTGCATCAGACTGCAGATGAAGGCTCTTTTCAAGCAATAGACCATAGAATCAACTCAGTTGGAAAAGAGCTTTAAGATCATCAAGTCCAACCATTCCCCAGCACTGCCAAGGCCACCACTAACCCATGCCACTGAGGACCTCATCTACATGGTGTGTGAACACTTCCAGGGACAGTGACTCCACCACTGCCCTGGGCAGCCTATTCCTAAGCCTGACTACTCTTTGGGGAAGGCATTGTTTCTGATATCCAGTCTAAACCTACCCTGGTGCAGCTTGAGGCCATTCCCTGTGCTCCCATTGCCTGTTATCTGGGAGCAGAGACCGACCCTCACCTCTCTCCATCCTCCTGTCAGGCAGTTGCAGAGAGTGCTAAGGTCCCCCTGAGCCTTCTCTCCTCCAGACTGAACCCCCCAGGTCCCTCAGCTGTTCCCCATCACACTTGTGCTCCAGGCCCTGCACCAGCTCCATTGCCCTTCTCTGGCCCCACTCCAGCACCTCAATGTCCCTCTTGTAATGAAGGGCCCAGAGCTGAACACAGGATTTGGGGTGAAGCCTCACCAGTGCCAATGTGACTGTAAGTGCAGCACTAATAACACTGTAATTATCAGCTGAAGTCTGGTGTCAAAAACGACAAACACTTGCATTCTCTACGCAGGAACTTGGACTGAAACCACAGAAAACATCAACACCAAAACACACAACTTTGGAGGTCAAACCTCACTTCTGGCTCTTGCTTTCAACAAGTACAAAAATGTGGAAACCCATCAGACATTCAGAGATTAAGGCACAGCTAATTGAGTTCCACATGCTGACTGTCCGCCTTCCAGAGGGACTACACACTACAACAGCTTCCCAAGCTGCTGCCATTCCCAAACTGCTGATAGATCAGGCTGTGTGGCTCCGTATCACACAGCACAGACTCACACCCTTCAACACAGTGCATCCCTCACCTCGATGCCTCTGCTACCTGCACATGCACTTTCTCTATGAGCTCCTTAACTAAAGACAACCAGCACACAAACAGCAGAAATGACAAAAGCACCATGTAATGAATGTACTCCTTATTCTATATTTAAGCATTAATATATGATGTTAAACAAAGCCTTCTCAATTTCTTCCTGAAGAACTGATCACACCGCCTGCATTTCCCCCTTTGTCACCTGTGAGCCACAAACCTTTCTTATTACCTTAGAAGTACTCTGAATACCTTGTTTTCCCTAGAAACCACCGCAATGCCCATCCAGCAACGATCACCAGTCTGGAATTAATAAACCCAAGGTTATGAAACAGTGGGAAGCTTCATCAGTAAGCAGCTGAAAAGGGAAAATTCCCTTACTTTCCATGTATCCGAACGCCACTGGATGAGTCCTCACACACCAATTCTTTCCTAGGAGCAGCTGAGTTTCAGCCCTATACAAGGGCTGCCCAAAGCACGAGCCTCAACATCCTCTTCTGCCTGTCTCCGACAACAGATGGGCACTGGATTCCACTTTTAACTATGGGGAAGGAAACCGAAGGGACGTTCCGCTTTTGTAGCATCTCTGGAAGCATTCACCAGACATCACCCCCCAAAATCAAACCCAACTCCAGACACACACACTTGACTCTTCTTAGGAAGACTGTAACTTCTGATCCTGCTTTATAAAATGTCTTATTTACTGGGATTCCGAGTTTGTGACTTCTACCTCGGTTAGCGATAAAACAATAACCGTTTTGAATAGACACCGCACCAGAGGCGCCCTGTAACAGCACGAACGCGTTAGAACGCCTGTCAGCAGCGCGAACCGTGCAGCCCCGCGTTTATCGCTCCTCAGTAACTCCCACTCCAGCTGAAGACGCTCCCTCCAAAGGCAAACTCTCCCAACGTCAATCCAGAGCTCCAACAACCACGCTCTGATGTTGCCTCGCCAACACGAGCAGCGGCAGGCAGCAGCTCGCAATTAAACCGCGGCTGATGAGGCATAATGAGCCCGAGTAGGCTCCAGTTCCCTCTTCCGCGCAGCGGCCGGGGCGGGAAGAGCCGCGCTTCCTTCCCCGGCGTGGCCGGTCCCCCTCACACCGTGACCCCCGGCACCGCAAGAAGCGAGGGGACCCATGAGGGGACCCTCTCCGCAGGCTGGGTCCCAGCCCCGCCGCCCGCGGGTACCTCAGAGCCGGAGCGGCCCCAGCAGAGGAGCGGCCCCCGCCGCGCTGAGGGGCTGGGCTCGCCCGGCTCCCCTCAGTGAGAAAGGGCGGGAGACCCGCGGCGGGACCGGGCTCGCCCGCGCTTTTCCAGCCCTCACCGCTGCTCCGACGGCCCCATCCCCGTTACCTGAGGGCGGCCGCTTCCTGCTGAGCCGGCTCACGGCCCTGTTGAACATCTCGGGGCGGCCGCGCGGCCCCGCGCTGCCCGGAGCCGGAGGGGGGGCGGCCGCGCCTTCCCCGCTCCCCGCCGGGCGGGTCCCGCACCGCCCCGTCCCGCCCCGGGCCCCGCCGCCGTGAGGGGGAGCAGCTCCGGGGGCTGGTGGGAAGGCAGCGGCCGGGCTTGGAGATGGAGCTGGGCTCCTCCGCGCCGCGCCCCGGGCTGAGCGGGGCAGCGCCGTTTACACGGTAGCGGGAGGCACCCGGAGCGCCAGCGAGACGTGGCAGCGGGGGGGTCTCGCTGTCTGCAGTGCCTGTGGGAGCGGCACCGCTGCCAGCCGTCCCCACGGATCCCCTGCCCCTGCGCTTGAACAGCAGCCTTATCTCGGTTCACCCATGTCCGCCCCTGCTCTGGAGCCAGGCTGAGAGAGCTGGGCTGGGGCAGCCTGGAGAAGAGAAGACTCCTGAAGGGGAGACCTCAGAGCAGCTCCAGTGCCTGAAGGGGCTGCAGGAAACCTGGAGAGGGGCTTGGGACAAGGGCCTGTAGGGACAGGCCAAGGGGAATGGCTTTAACCTGCCAGAGGGGAGACTGAGATGAGCTCTTAGGCAGGAGCTCTTCCCTGTGAGGGTGCTGAGGCGCTGGCACAGGGTGCCCAGAGAAGCTGTGGCTGCCCCATCCCTGGCAGTGTTCAAGGCCAGGTTGGACACAGGGACTTGGAGCAAGCTGCCCTAGTGGAAGGTGTCCCTGCTCGTGGCAGGGGTTGGAATTGGATGAGCTTTAAGGTCCCTTCCAACCCAAACCAGCCTGGGATCCCTCCCTCCTCCTCCCTGTCCCCAGGCTCAAGCCTCCTGCTCCCCCATCTGCTCCTTTCATCGCGCTACTGTTCATCAGGCAGCTTCCTCCATGAGCATTCAGACACCATAAAGTGTTTGCTGAGCAGGTGCAAGAAACAAACCCACTTCCTGAGACAGCCTTGATGACTGTGTGCACTTTCTAACCAAAACAAATGCACCAACCTTCTTGTGCTGGGGGGACTCTGTGCTCTTCAAAGACGTGGAAGAACAATTGTTTCTCAATAGGAAGTAACAGGAAAAGCACAATTACCATCTCACAAAGGTGTTTTCACCTTCAGAAATAACTTTTTTTACCAAAATATTTCATAAGAAATAGCCAGCATGTAGCCAGAGTGAGAAATTTGTGTAATTCCGACACAACTGTAAGCCACTGACAGACAATTATCTCAGGAACAGTGGTGGGAGGCAATGGGAGTGCTTAAATCCCACTGGAAATGGCACTGATTCCTAAAAAGTTGCAGCAATCACTGCTAGCAGACAAGCCAATGCTTATTTCCACCTAAAGCCAAATCCCACCCGAAACACGGGGTAACAGCATTTATTGATGCTCTGTTCACAGACCGAACTTGGACGGGCTCCCTGCCTCACTGACACGTATGGATATTTTCCGCTTACATGCACAAGGCCAAGACTTCATTCCTGGGAATTGGTGACACCAGAACGATGAACACAAACTGCATCTGTGCTTCCAAACTAAACAACAGCACAATGCCTTCCAGCTGAAGAGCACTGGCCTGCTCACCGCTGGACTCCTGCCTCCGGTACCAAGGCCAAAAGCTGTGTGAGCTGGTGCAGGTTTCTTGGCTCTTGGTGGGGGTTTATAAAGAAGCTTGCTGTGCTGCTGAGGGAACCGCTCAACAGCTGCATGTGGAACGTCGGAGCTGATGTGTGGGACGGGCACAGATGTGGACCACAAGTGGCGTTACTTTGCACACAGAAGAGACGGAGGTAAAACCATGGGAGAGGTAAGGGACACAGGTTGGGGAGGAGACAGCTTGGACATGAGCTCCAAAAGGTGGTCTCTGCTATATCCACTCCGGTCACGTGTTTCAGGGCAGTACATTTACACTGAAGCAGTACAGGTAGCACCAGGTTTTATTGTTCTTTAAGAATCAGGTCACAAAGCCCAAAGCTTTTAATTTAAAACGCTAAGAACCAGTACTCCCTAGACCAGCTACATCATCTTACAGCTAATGTACCGACACAACAGGTTACTGGGGTGGTTTTAAAGCTTAACTTCATGGAGATGGAGATGGTAGTACATAAGAAAGTTGAGGATCTTTGCAGACTGGGCTCTGCCCACGGTGTGTGCTCTGCTGCTGATGTCTCCAAGAAGCGCCATGGAACCCAGCTGCCCACTTGTGCTCCATTCACATATTGCTAAGCCTGACCTTCAGCTCCAGCATGGATTGACCTGTAGAAGCCAGGACATGAGGGAATTTTCCTTCCAGGTGAATTTCGTGGAGATATTCAGGCGTGGTTCATCTGTTTAATTGTCTCTTTCCACAGATAAGCCACAATACCTGTATACAGCCATATGCAACTTCAGTCTGTGCCACTGTCCACATGCCAAATCTACATGCTTACATTGATTTTTAGACCTTGCATCACAACCTTTTTTACCAGCTTTTCCTTAATTCCACAGGGTAAAGCTTCCCTTAAAAATTACTAAGCTAACAAAACCACAGGTTTGTTTGATAATCTTTGGCTGTCAAACACTAGTTTGTTGGCACACTGTGCCAGGTAACACACAGCAGAAGATACACTCCATGTACTTACCAAGCCATTGCACTTCCATCTCAAGAATTGTATACCATTAAAACTGAAAGAGAGAGAGAGTCAATGAAATCATACCACCTATTTTACATTCAGCTTTTATTTCTTCTTTCAGCACTACTCAATGATGTTCCAGTAGAAAAGCTCACTTAAAACTGAACATAAAGGCTTTTGAGAGCCTCACATCTGCTCCGTTCTGTACACACACGGCTTATTAGCATGTTGTGTGGCAGCAAAACTTGGACTGCTTATTATCCTAAATGAGGGTAGATTTAACAATTTGGATAAAGTTCAGCAAGTTTCCCATTGACAATGGTAGGAACAAGTAAGGGGGAATGAGAATGTGCAAGACACCCAAAAATGCAAAGCATACTTGCTAAATCTGTGACTGCAGGCAAAGATACTAAAGATGCTATTTAAAACATTTACTTGCATCCTGAAGAGTAACTGGTTGACTTAAATAGCAGGTTTTGAAAAGAAAGGGTAGCAGTCGTGCTTAGCTGCTGCCAGTGCAAGTCTATTCTGGAACACACTGAACGATGAATAACATCACAGAAAAATCTCTAAATGTGTGGCTCGTTTCAGTGCCAAATTGCAGTCTGAAGACTCAAAACTAATCAACAAACTATGAGAAACCTCACTTAGGACTGAAGGCCCTGATTTCACTTACACCAACATGACACAACTGATTTCAGTAGAGTACTTCTTATTTACATACAAACTTCAAATCTGAGATGCTAACAAAGAGGAGAGAGCTTCAAAATAGGAAACTCCCATCTGCTACACAGAAACACCTTTAAAATCTGAATTTAGACTTGCAAAGTTTATTTTCCAGTTATCCTGCATGTTTCCAAAGTACTCCAAAACCAAGGCATTGCATAGGAATTACTACATACACTGAAGGGAGATTCACATACCTTGGTTTATATTATGCTGCATCCACTGTTCTGGAGGTGGCATTCACACCAGTAAATGGTATTTCTGCCACCAAGTTTCCCTCAGTCAGTCCCGCAAGACCAGCTCCACCTCCTACCAGAGCTGCAGCAGTCAGAGGTACCGATTCAATGTGTTCTGCAGCCACCCTGTCACTCCTGTCCCAACTGGACATGTCCCCTGGTTCCTTCAACTCAGTACCAGACTTGCAGCACTGCTGTCCCCAGCACCTTTCTTTGCTGGGGCATGTGGTAGGAGATGCTAGGAAGACACAAAGCTCCCACGAGAAGCTTGAAGAGACCAATGGGATATAAAAGCCCATGCACTGGGATTTCTACTGCTTGTTCTACCAAAACCTGAGCACCCTTGTGAGAAATCCCTTATTCATTTTTTCCTTCTAACAATCTTGGCTCATAGCTGGCAGTGAGGTTTTACAAGCTGAAAAGACAGAACAAGATGTTTCAGTCTCCCCAAAAAATCTCCAAAGTAAATGAGCATGCTTTTGGCTGGACTGATTTCTAGGAAGATTAGTTTTCACTTACACCCAAGGACTAACCACTTCATCCTCGCTTCTGTCAGATTCAGAAAGCAATGCCAAACATTACTATGATTTTACAGCTTCCAAAGGACTTTTTGAGTATGAGCGATGGTTCAGCATTTTGCCCAAATACATTTTTATATGAATCTAAGCAGCAAGTGATCTGTTAATACACACACTGCAACTGGGCAAAACTAGCCTCATCTGATGTGACATTATAAGTAACAGCAGAAAATACAACTAGATGCTACACTGCAAAGTGAATTCTAGCCAGAATACATTTAAAGCTGTAAGAATATGTGCACAATAATCATCAATTGTTCAGAGCATTACAGGTTCAGTAAGTAAAACCAGGTTTCAAACTTCATGAACATTCATTTCAGTGTTCATGATGGGTTGGCAAACACGCCTTTAAAGCTTTTCCTTCCACATCAGCCAGTGCTCTAGGCTCTAGTATCATGGACCTAGAGAGACACAGATATTTATATTTAAATCTAAATATTTTAGCTTCTATGTTTTCACAGTTTAAACACAAAGAAATCAGTGACAGGCGTGCTGCTAGAATATACTTCAGTGTGGTTAAGCCTACTCCTTTTGGAGAGAACAACATGATTTGATGCTGTTAAGATCTGGTTGTTTGGGTTTTTCCAGTTCAAAGCCATTTTTAGTTTCAAATCCAGTTTGGCAAGTCTTAGCTAAACGCATTTACTAGCTGAAGATTCACAAACACCAGAGCACAAGAGCAGATAAAAAACCATGGGTTTAATCTTCTAATAACACAGAGAGAAAACATAAACATAATGCTCCCCCTGAGGTACACAGTGTAAAACAGCTTTGAAGAGAACTGATAGAAAACTATATGCTATTTCAGGCTTGCTTAAATAAATCAGGGGAGTTTGTCCAGCACCATTCACTTTGAACTCCGAGAAGGCTCTGACTCACTCTTCTGTAATACTTTCTAGTATGAAGAGGTTCACAGGGTCAACTTTTATCCCTAATCTTGTGGAACATTCCTCAATACCTCCAATT